CCTCCTCTTGCTGCAGGTAAATAACCATTGGGCAGAATAGGGCACTTAATGGCTTCAAATTGGACAACGGTGCCCCACAGCCCGATGCCATTCCTCCACTGCTTTGGCTGGAAGGCTGGTCAAAGTGGGCAGGTCACACACATTACATTTCATGAACCCTCACCCCACCTTCAAACCCATCAACACAGGACCCTCTTTGAACTAACCAGAGCATAGGAGACTTCAGGAAGCAGATTATGTTTGCTTAGAAAACAAAAGGATATGGCGCCATTGCAGGGCAACTATTTTGATAATGTACCCAGAGGAAAGGGAAGGGACAAAATGTAGAGAAATTTAAAGAGAGCAGCAAATAAAGGGGGGGGGGGGGGTAAAGGTTATAAAAAGGTAAAATTCACAGCCCTTTACTTAAATATGCATAGTACTTGGAACAACATGACAAAGATTAGTGGGAAACCAGTGGTTTGGGAAAGTTTTAAAAGCTAACAAAAGATGACCAAATATAGAAGCAGAAAATTAAATCTGAAAGGCAAACTAGCAAATAACGTAAAAACAGAGAGTATGAGCTTCTTTAAATCTATTAAAAAGGAAGAGCGAGGCCGAAGCGAACATAGGCACCTTAGAGAACTAGGCTGGGGAAATGATAAATGAGGAAACCAGGAAACAGCAGAGGAGTTGAATAAATACTTTGCAATAATCTTTATGGTAAAGAACACGTAATAACATTCCAAAAATACAAAATTAAGGGGTTAAAGTGGAGGGTGGAGGTGAGAAGACAGAATAAGCACAATACCTAACACGAGGGAGAAAAGGACTGGGGAAACTAATAGGGCTAAAAGCTGATAGGCCTTCAAAACCTGATGGGCTGTATCCTAGGATTTTAGAAGGAAGTCGCTTCAGTGATTGTGGGCACACTGGTTGTAAGTATTCTTTCAAGAAATCCCGGGGGAACTGAAAATGGACAAAGTATCACTCTTATTCAAAAAGGAAGGGAAATTAAAAAAAAAAAGCAGTAACTACAGGCCAGTTAGCTTAACACGTGTCACTGGGAGAAGAGTCTATTATAAATAATATAATAGCAGAGCATTTAGAAATATGTAATACTATCAAACAGAGTCAGCGTGGATACGTGAAAGGGAAATATGCCTGAAAAACTCATCAGAATTCTCGGAGAAGGTAACAGGCAGGGTAGATAATGGGGAACCAATAAGTGTAATGTATTTGGATTTTCAAAAGGCATTAAAAAGATCCCATAGCATTGGGAGTAATATATTAGCACAAATTGAGGACTGGTTAACTAATAGAAGAGAGTTGGGATAAAGGAGACAATTTCAGCTAGCAACTTATAACTAGTGGCGTAACACACGCATCAGTGTTGGAGCTACAATTATTTCAAATACATATTAATGACTTGGATGAGGAAAGTGAACGTACAATCACTGCATTTGCAGATGGCACAAAGATAGATGAGAAGGCAGGCAGTGAGACAAAAAGTCTATTGATGGGTTAAGTGAGCAAAAACATGGTAGTTGGAACATAACCTGGGAAAATGTGAAGTTATGCACTTGGCAGGAAGAATAGAAGAGCTGAATATGATTTATACGGGGAAAGATTGTGGAAAGCTGCAGCACAGAGGGATTCAGGTGGGGGGGGTGGGTTCCTCCTTCATGAATCACAAGAAGTTATCCAAGTTCATCAGGTAATAGGGAAGGTAAATAGAATATTGGCCTTTATTTCAAAGGGAATGGAATAACAAAATAGGGAGGTTTTACAAAAACAATACAAGGCACTAGTCAAACAATAGCTCGAATACTGTGAATGTTTTGGACTCCTTATCTAAGGAAAGATATATTGGCATCGGAGGCAGTCCAGAGAAGGTTCACTAAGCTGCTACCAGGTATTGAAGGATTTTCTGATGAGGAGAGGTTGAGTAGGTTGGAATTTAGAAAAATGAGAGGAAACCTCATAGAAACATCCAAGGTTCTGAGGGGATTTGACAGGATAGATGCAGAAAGGTTGATTCTCCTTGTCTAAGAGTCTAAGATCAGAAGGATAACCTCAGAGTAAGGGATTACCAATTTATGACAGAGATAAAGAGGAGTTTCTTCTCTCAGACGTAATGAATCAGTGGAATTCTTTACTACAAAGTGCTGTCAACATTGGGTTACGTATATTCAAGGCTGAGACATACAGATTTTTAACCATTAAGGGAATTAAGGATTATTTAAATAAAAGCAGGAAAGTGGAGTTGTGGATCATCAGATCAGACATGATCTATCTAAACAGCAGTGCAGTAAAGAAGAGTGTTCTTCCGCTCCTATGTCTTCTGAACCGTAACATTCCAGTCCATCTCTTGTACATAGACACTTGTATTAAAGCACAAAGTAAACAAGGACAAATTGTCACTGTTTATTAAACAGAGCAGGCCCAGATTGTCTACGAGTGAGGCAGTTTTGTGCACCCACTGCTACTGACAACAAAATTGTTATGAATCCAAGGTTTTGTAAGATGATGATGTTCTCAACAGTTTGCCAAATTCAAAATAAAATGCATAAATGGAAAAAAATTGTGTTATCAGCTGTGAACTTACACTAGCAAAGCTTGGTTACCACAGAAACAGGAGACCCAGGATGAGAGACTTACCGAAAGCAAAGTGCAAAACATATGCAGCTAAAAGGAAAGGCAGGAACAGCCAGGCTAACTCTGGGCAGACACGGAGTCTCTGATATTTATGACAGAGGGAGAACATGAGAGAGAGAGAGAGACAGACAGACAGACAGACAGACAGAGAGTGAGCATGAGAGACAGATAGAGAATGAGAAATGGTTACAGCTAGTGGGGTTGGCAGTAGAAGAAGGCCAGGAATTCTTGGTGAGCTGTGAGACTGAATGTAGAATGGAGGATGGTGTCTAGTGGAAGAGATGCATCCTGTAGCAATCTAAAATCCCTGGAAGATTTAGTCTGATAAAGGCAGGGGGAGAAATCATAGTGGCAGCCCTTACTTCTGGTATTTGGTTTGGAAATTCTCCAAAAATGTAGGCATTGCTTTTTGACAGTACCTTACTATTACAACTGAGTTAAACAGCAAGACCTGAACTCTTTAGAATCTGGGAGTGGGCTGTTTCCTATGAAGAGTGTAATCCAGTGAAGTGTGTGTTGTGACATTTATGTATGTCACATGAGGCTATTGGTAAGGGCCACCATTTCAATAACAGAAGGTGCTGCAAAAACTCAGCAGGTCTGGCAACGTGTGGGGAGGGAAAACCAAAGTTAAATGTTTTGAGTCCAGTGTTCTAATGAAGGGTCACAGAGCTTGAATGTTAATTCTGCTTTTTTCTCCCCAGATGTTGCCAGACCTGAATTTCTCCAGCAATTTCTATTTTTGTTTCAGATTTCCAGAATCTGTGGTTCTCTTTTTTTCACCATTTCTACAGTTTAGAGTTTTGGTTGCTTACTAGTAGGGTTTGGTCGACATTGCTTTTAATTCGTCTGTTACAATAAATGTCTTAAAAACCTGAAACCTTGCCATCTGACTCCTTCGAATTGGTCAATGGAAATTCAATTTTTTAAAAAAATGTTATTGATCTCTATAGAAGTTGTAACATTATGGCTCAGGAAGCCTCAGACCTTTTGAAAAGAGTTATATAGTCAGGTTGACTTCAGGTAGAGTACCTAACAGTGTCTGCAACTATTGATGAGGTAAGCACAGTGAATGCTGCTGTTCCCAATGTAATGTGAGTGCACTGTAGTACACACAAGCAAGGCACTCACTGTCAATAGCATCTTGACCAACTTGAAGGAGGTGCTGCAAAATACTGAGAGGATGGTAAACTTTATAATCGCTTGATCGTTGAATTCCAGAATTTACTCTATTAAATGAGGTGTGAAGTGAACACATCAATTTAACACCTCACACAGAGGTTCAATGGCTTTTCCATAGCATGTGACTTTGAACTTTGCTTCAGGGTGAACTGATGCCTTACTGACTGCCCACTCCTCCTCTGTGTATTACATGTTTTGGTGTCTACAATAGATCATTTGGCACAGCCAGCTCTTGCTTGAATGAGTTATATCTCGCACACCAAAGGTTGAGAGTAACCAGTTCCACAGTCTGGAACCCCTGAGCTTGCCATCGTGGAAGAAAGCAACACAGGCAACGTTCTCCAAGGTGACTGAATTCCTGACAATAAACAGAGCACACATTTACAGAAGAGCATCACTGAACTGGTGAGGCAATAACATAATTATTTCTCCTCCACAGGGGGCGTTGGATCTGCTATCTTTTCACTAATTTGTCTGCAGTATCAACGTCACAGGTCTCACGAATAAGAGAACCTCCTGGACATCTCATGGTTGAGAAAAAAAAAAGTTGGCGGAGCTTCGGGTCTAAATGTAAGCAAAATTCCCTGAATTAATAGACAGTGCTACAAAAGCATCGATACTGTTAATATACAACTCGCCCTCAAAAAAATGTGTATTTTCACCAATCTCTAGAATTCAAAGTTATTAGAATCTTCATGCAGGAAGTAATTTAGGCTCATTAGCACCCTAAACATTACATATCTTTGCTCAAAGCCAGAATGTGGTGACTCTTTGTGAACTCTCCTAAGCAGCTCACCCCCTCACATATTATAATCGTTCTCCCCGGTGTACTTAGGTATGATTTGTCTGGTTAGCACACAATACAATACTGTTTCTGTATGTCAGTACATGTGACAATACTAAATCAAATCAAATAAACAACCACATCTGTGACATGAGATTACATCACCATGTAGCATGGACAGATTTCTACACTGGCTTCACATTACATCAACAAACCAAAAGCTGGAGGTAAAATTAAACAACTCTGGTTACACAACAGAATCATGCGACAGAGCTTCCAGACAGACGGCTGCACTATATTTACAAACATTGATCAGATGGAGCAAAAAGAACACCCCAGTTTCAGATTGTGCACTTGAATTAAGGCGTAAAGTGGAGAGAAGAAAACTTTAGCTTACTTCCAATGCTTTGGACCTGGTCATAAATCTGAGAGGTTAGAAGTGGTTGCGGAAGCTCGCGGAAGAAAGTTTTCAAGATGACCGCTGGAATATGCTCATCTCTATACTCCTCAAATTTAATCGGTTTTCCTGGAAAAGAAGCAATTGATGATGCTGTGAAAAGATTAGAGTGACAGAAGACTTCCAGCAGAAGTTTTACATATAGTGCGCTCTTTGTATTTTGCCATTCCTAATTACTTTTTGTGTTTACCTATCTGTTCTTACCATATATACTTAACTTTTGGTTTCTGTTGCGCAGATGCTGACTTGTTGTGTTCTCCTGACTATAATCTCAAATACACTGCAATCTTACTGGAGGGAGTTGGCCACTCTCTTGTATCATCAGCAATGCTGCTTAATCTGTGAGCATCCTCACCCGAAATATGTTAATCCACCCAGCATTGCTGCCTCTCTCCTTCTTCTATCTCCATCCTTGAAGCACCATCACCACCCCACTGTCCATTCCCTTTGGTTCCTCATCAGTGCCCACTCCTACCCAATGCTGGGCATCCAGGTGTTCTGTACATCTGCTCGAGTTAATCCATACCTAACAAAACCCTCAGTGCTCATTCCTCAACAGAAACTCTCATCACCATTCCCTAATCCCACACCCTGCCATTCTACTGTTTTTTCCACCCGATTCCAGTCCTATCACACTCTGGCTTCTATCATCAAACATTAGAACCACTGACCTAGATGCCACAATTCTTCACCTCCTCCCAACCATGACTCCTTCCCCCAGTGCTCATACCTTTTGCTACCCCCGCTGCAATACTCCCAGATCCGAGTGTCCCAAGCACCAGTTTTGTTATTCCTGTAGTGGAATGCACATTCCTTTCCACCACTCCCTGTTATCACTTCACATCCAAAATGTGAAACTTTACATTTCCATATTTTTATAACGGCTTTGATCGCGGTCACCCTCTACGCTCACTTTTTCCACCACTCCCCATGCCTCAGTTGTGTTGCTTCCTGCTGTTTCCGAACTTATTGCTCCAACCCTCAACACTCATCCTTTCCCATTATATTTTTAATCACTGTCAATTAGTGGGAAGTTAGGAATTGCTAGATGATAATAATACACCATCTGGTTTGTCCATCCCTCAAGAATTATGAACTTGTGCAAGGGAGTAGACCAAATTCAAACTTGTTCAATCAATTCAATATCCTCACATGCAAATGTGATGGTTTAATAGATCACAATTCTTTGACCTTGCTGATTTGGCCTTGAAACTCCATTTGAAGAACTGCTCTGACATGGACAGCCACACTGCCTGCTCCTGTTTTGGTCAATCAGCCTTGGATCCTGGGTCATGTTGCCTTTGACTCCATCTACCCGTCAGTACTTATTCATTGGCACAGCAGCAGCTTTTCACCAGCAGCTAGCTTCACCAAGCTAGATATGTCCCTGGGTTTTTCCCTGAGCTCTAACCTTGTTGAGTTGTATAAAGCAGATGTTGCCTGTGGGTTTTTCAACCCGTACTCTTTCAGGTGTACTAAAGTATTAATGCTCACAAGCTTCTTCCCAGGCCCTCAGAGCTTCTACCAACAGAGAACCAGCACTTGTTCCGAGTCCTGACTACACAGAGCTAGTCAACCGTTCCCGCCTTCTTCCTTGCAGGACGACTAAAATCCAGCATTCCAAACCCAGGATTCTGCCTCATTTCTGTCTAGCTGTGCCCCTGGAACTGCTTTTCAGTGACCTCTGAACTGCACCAAGTGACCTATTGAAAGTCTTCCTAAAAGCCCCTCCCTAACTGCTCTAGGAACTGGTACAATCTCAGCTGATGTTATCATTGGACAAGTCTGTTCTCAGACTGAAACCTGGCTTGATAGATCATTTTCTTAAAGTTAATGTAGCGGGATGGTCTTTTGGCAGATTTGGTTTTAACAATAAAACAGATGTTTCTCACAGGAAAGAAGGTAAGCTAAAACAAATCAAACTATTTATATATGACACAATTCAAAAGATTTTGAAACACACAGCAACTATCCCAACTCCATTCCGCTACAGTACTCAACTACCAATGAGAAATCCCATCTCTATCACATCCACATGTTTGATTTACCGGTTTCTTTAGTTCCTGGTCTTGAGAATTTGATAGCCTTTGTCTTGATTATTTACACAGCCGAGTTTAAACTTCGTTAGATTCAAATAACCTTTTCATGTTTCCAACCAAAAACTTTTCTACTCAAAATGATGAAACTAAAAGCGTTACACCGATATAACTGATCTCCTAACTGACTCCCTTCTCCAGAAAAAACCATTGTTACATTTGATTCCAGCCAGGTTTTCTGTGAATTGCTTCAAACTATAGATTTTATTCCCGAGAAGGCAAATATAAATTAGTGATTCGTCTAAACCAAAAGTGAGCTAATGGTTTTCAAGGTTTGTTCCCTCTGATTGTAAACAACACAAACTATCTATTATCACTCCAGAAGGGTTCTGGTCAGCTGCTTGAGGACACATACTAGTTTAAAATCATGATTTCAAAAAGATTGACAAGTTAATTATTCAACTTCTTCTCACACAGAGAGCAAAACCCACATGCCACGAGTTCAAAATCCAAACTATAAAATAAACAATATTAATACTTAACTCACACACCTTACATCACACAACTGCGTTCTGTAAATTTTACATTCTCACAGAATGCTGGAAATGGATTACATGTGGATTATTTATTAAATGTTAAATTTCAATATTTAAAGCTGAAGTCTAAATCAACTTTTTTTTGAGGTATTACAATTCCATGTCCCAGTGTCTTTAATTCAACTCAGTTTCTGAGTGATTGGCATCCAAGCTAGCTCTTCCAATGTTTATAGACATGAGTCCTCTTGTTATCCTGCTCAGATGCTGAAAACGTAACTTATGTCTGATTTAGCTGAAAGGGGTTAAGAAGGAAATGTTCAAATTTATTTGCATAAAAATTACTTAGGAACCAGTCCACTCTGTCCAGTCATCCAGAACATCATCTAACTGTGCACCAGTATAAAAGCATGTTTTAATGTTGTTGCTACATGGAGAATCAAATCAATATTCCACACCTGTGAAATCCCTCATCACCTGTATGTGAATACAGCTCCAATAGATAATGAACTGAAAAAATTACCGTGCAAAGTTACAACCAGCCCTAGTAAACTACCAAATACATACATCGAACAGAAAAGGAAGGTCACAGAACGCTCAGCATTCCACATCTTATTTATTTCTCTTCCAGTATTGTAAACTAATGCTTTGATAATTACAGTGACACAGATGGCCAGCTGGACACTTACCCAGATTATATTGTTTCTGGATTTCCTTGATGACCTGGATATTGGCTGATCGTCTGAATAAACCTTCAGTTTTAAGTGCTGTAAATAAAATATTAAAAGTTTTCAGCAAGTTGTGCTCTCTTACAGTGACAATGTTACTACATTCTAGATCTGCTAAATACATTTAAAAAAAGATAAATATGGTGGTGTTCTTCAAAATCCTCCTACTGGTCAACAGCCTGACATGTATGGTTAACGTGATGATGGAAGTACAATTTTTGATGAATTCATGAAAATGAGCAAGACATCATGCAATATCTTCCCAATTTGTACAACTACTAGTACATAGTAGCCATGTTGCATATTGTGTCAACAGACATAAGAAGAGTTTGGTTAAATTTGATGTTCCTTCAAATTGAGAATGATTGGTACAGTCGTGGGATTAGACAGCCTAAGTATCAACCATGGCAAACAGTTTAAAAAAAAAAGTGTTAAAACATATTTTAAACCCCAAGTTTGAGCGAGATTATAGCCCTGAACAGCAGTAACATCAGCACTACACTTGTCAGCCATTACCCATGGTGCTTTTCCTGGAAATCATGAAACATCTGTTATTCACAATTTACTGCAGCATTTCTTACTCACTTGGGGAAGTTGAACAGAAGACTTTCAACAAGACTGCGAAATGAGGAACTGAGAGAGAAAAAGTCAGAGCGAAAGGTGATCTCAGGTCGTATATTTTTTTGCCTTTAAGTAACTCACTTTGCAATCATATTAAAGGACGATGCCTGGAAGTTTTGGCCCGCAAGTTGAAGGTACACAGTGTTGAAAGATGTATGAAGTAGAGGGTGAGGGTGAGGGTGTGAGTGTGTGGTGGGGAAGAATGATCAGAAACACCAAGATCTAACTACCTTTAAGCAACTGTCAATAAGTAGCCATAAATTCCAGGAAAATAATGTGCAATGCAATTCTGAACCCATTCTAAGCACCGAGATTAAAAAAACCTGTCCTTGACATCGACCCAGAGAACAACAGTTTGCAGGTTGTAAATGGTTATCTGTATTTCCTCCACAGATGGCATTCACAGTTTTGTTTCTAAACCAAATCCAGGTTCTACTTGAGACAACAAGGTGCAGGGCTGGATGAACACAGCAGGCCAAGCAGCATCATAGGAGCAGAGAGGCTCTACTTGAATAGGATCCCAGCACTCTCACTGAATTCAGGCAGTCTCTAGGCAAACACAGTAGAGCATTCCAGGAAATACAGTAGTGGATGAGCTAGTGTTAGGGGCAGCACATCTATTTATAATGTCCCTACCAACCCAATCGTGCTGCCTAGCTCAGGTAATAATTGGCCCCTATCAGTAAACTTGTCAAACAATGAAGAAAGATTAGGCTAACTTCAAAAACTTCCAGACAAATCATACATAAATGATTAGGTGACGTCAAACAATGATTTGAAAGCAAAATGCCCCTCAACAAGAAGGAAAAACAAAGGTAATAAATTACACAGGTCTGAGGTGTTAAAAGTTAATTAGCATCAACAAAAGGCATATTGAATGTTTATTTTGATGCTTGAAAAGGATATCCAATCAAAGTTCAGGAGAATAATCACCATAATAATGTTGAAAAAAATGAAGGCTAGAAAGGTCTGCAGCAACAGCAAGACAGGAACACCCAGAGTATAAGCTTTCTCCTGTTTCCTAACAAAGGAGGATTACAGACTTGATAGAAGGCACTCAACCTGGTGGGGGGGCTACATAATAATGGGCTTGAGGTTCGTTGAGAACTAAGTAATATTGACACAAAATTAACCTTGGTATAGAGTAGGACGTTCAGCTCCTTGATCTTACCTCCATTATTCTAGATCACAGCTGATCACCTACCCACATTTTCCCAATTAATCTCCATATCCTTCAGTGTCATTAATATCGAGAAATCTACCGATTTCTTTGGTTTTATACATACTCCATACTGAGATTCCACAGCCCTCTGGACCAGCCAATTCTAAATTTTAAATACCCTCAGAGTGAGAAATTCCTCAATTTGGTCCCAAATGGCCCGCCCCTTGTTTGCAGTCTGCAGGCCCTGGATCTAGAGCGCACTTGGAAACATGCCATCTACATCCAGCCTGTGGTCCCAAGGAGGTACATTGGACTCGAAACGCTAACTGTTTCACATTGCACAGATGCTGCCAGATCTGCTGTGTTTGTGCAGCACCAGCTGTTTCTATTCCACCCTATCACACCAAGAATTTTGTTCATTTCGATGAGGTCAGCCCTTGTTCTTCAAAAGTCCAGGGAACAAAGACTCAGTCTTCTCAGTTATTCCTCCTAAAACAATCCCAGCAATTAGTCTGATGAAAACCAAAAGAACTGCGGATGCTTTAAATCAGGAACAAAAACAAAGTTGCTGGAAAAGCTCAGCAGGTCTGGCAGCATCTGTGAAGGAGAAAACAGAGTTAACGTTTCGGGTCCAGTGACCCTTCCTCAGAATTAGTCTGATGAGCCTCTCTGGTGAACTCCCTCCATGGCAAGTAGATCTTTTCTTAAATAAGGAGACCAACACTGTACAAACATTTCTGAAGAAGGGTCTTGGCCCGAAACGTCAGCCTTCCTGCTCCTCTGATGCTGCTTGGCCTGCTGTGTTCATCCAGCTCTACACCTTGTTATCTCACTGTACAAACTACTCCAGCTGTAGTCTCACCAAGGCACCATGCAATTAACGCATGACAGCTTCCCTTGAAATGGTTGAGAAATAAAATGAACTATCTTGGTGCAGCTAAAACGATGGACAGCAACACAATTTCCATGTGAGGAAATAATAAGGAGTGGGTGCAAGAAGTTGATAAACTAAGGACAAAAGGTGGAGGAATGACACAACGTAGTAGCTGGTCAGACATAGAAAAGAGATTAAAGTAAATGTTTTCAAATTCAAACTCTTGGAGAGGGGTAAGGCTTCAAAGACAAAGACAATCACAATAAAAGGCAACACTTTTAACATTGTTAATACAGTTAATAAAGAGAAACAAGGCAGAAAACGTACCTTTCTGCTTCAGGAACTGTACAGTCTGTCTCACTACCAGAGGAATGAGATCTCCATTTCCTTTGTCCCGGAGACTGGTATTTTAAAGAAGTAACACAGGCACATCCGTCAAGATTAGTTGCATGGAAATCGCCTTTCGTAACATAGCTTAGATTTTTAAACAAAGTGTTTGTGGAAAGTTTAAATTTAGAAGAATTTGGATTCAGGTAGCATCATAGTACATCGTCCCAAGGCATTTCACAGTAGGTTAGTTGGACCACAAGCCAATGAAGGAGACATTTGGTGAACAAAACCTTGGTGATGAAGCTGGTTCTGCCCCAGCATAAAGGGAGGGAGGTCTGCAAAGAGAACCACTTAATCCATTTATTACCCATCCCTAATTGCCACTGAGACAATGGTGCTGAGCTGCCTCCTTGAACTACTCCAGGTTGTGTGGTGAAGAAACTGTTAAGTGGCAAGTACACAGCTAAAGGCTGAGACAGCTTATAATGCAGACATCTTGGGGCAAAAGAAATGAGGAATGCACAAGGCGTCAGAACTGGAGGGGTGAAGAGCTTGTGGATGGTTGAAGACTCAATGAGAAGAACAAGATAATATAATAGAGGTGGAAGAAAGCAGCCTTAGCAATGGGCACGATTAAAGTTAACTTCACATTAAATAGCCTGCTTCACTTTAGGCAGTGAACTGGGAGTTTCCTGGAATCAGTAGTGACATAATGGATCTAAAGGTAATAGTTTTGGCTTTCTCACAATGTTTAATTGCAGGAAATTTTGACTCATCTAAAGGCTTGATTTCAGACAAGCAGTCTGCCAGATGCACAGGAGTTAACAGATGTGGTGCTAAGGGTTATGCCAAGGACACTTGGCTGTTCATGGAACCTTTCGAATTCTGTTGCAAAGGGTAGTTGACAGACGAAGAGTCAAGGTGGCCAAAGACAGGCCCTTGAGGGGGGCACCTGGAAGTAAAAGATGCAGGAACAGGCAGATGATGAAAACTGAAATCCACTAATGAATCTGGAACTAAAAACTAATTCACGAAAGTACTTTAGGGAAGGAAAATTGCAGTCCACACCCGGTCTGATCTTAAATGACCCAGCAATGCGCGTGACTCCTTTAACAGTCCTCTGAAATGACCTTGCAACCTACCTGCTACAAAAGCTTTGTAAAGAAGCTCTTGCTGCAATTAAATATGCATGTCCTGAAAGTGTAACATCAAGTTTGGTTTGGGCTTTTATTTTACATTTCACTATTTGAACTACTGCTCCAACAATAGATCTGACATAACAGATGCCCAAATGTTAAAGAGCTTTAAATAACTTTAAAAGATTCAGACATCATCCACCCTAGGAATTCGAGAAAACCTTCTTTCTATAAACATCTGTCACACTGCGCTGAATATACCACAGGAATGGAGAAAAATGAATAGAATAAGACTACAGTGTTTGATAAAGTGACTCTAAACTTGGTATAATTGAATGAGATGAAAATGTGAAATGCATGTAACCTGACCCTGAACGTGGCAAACACCCACTTGCTACCATTTTATGGTGAAGGATAACCAGCAGCTTGGGGACTTCCACCATGTAGATATTTAACACACGCTCAAACTGGGCAAGTGCAACTGTGACACCAATTTGGAATCAACTGCTGCTGCAGGTTAGAAAACTCATTGAAATAGATGGGAGCTACTTGTTTCCACGGCTAAAGTGGGTTTTCAAGAGCAACAGGCATGTTTCACCTCTGCAGCCTTCAGCATTCCCCTGCCTTTCCAAACAAAAAGAAACTTCCCTGCCTCAGCTCCTAGTCCCCTGATCATGGGCTTCTTCCCAACCAGGTAGGCAGATCTACACAACAGGCTCTGCCATCCTTAGATCCTCCAGGTCAACACAATCTCCATCTCCACCTCCATAAAGATTAGGGTCTCGGAATCTCGAAGAGTGGCAAGTGCAGAACAGCAATCATTTTCGTTAATTTAATTTGATTATATTGGAATCATATTCTTTCAGAATTGGCCAGCAGTTTTGTATTTCGGCAATCAACTTGGCAACGCACCCAAGTTTTCCACATAGGAAACAAGGTCTTAACATAACATTGTAAAGTTAATCACGGTAAAAGCAGGAATGAAACAAATGAAAACTTACTATTGCAGACTGACTCCGAATTGTTGCTGGGGAAGCGGAGGTCGAGGTGGGGGTGTCTTTGCTGGTTGAGGTGGTCCTCCCTTTTGAGATGCTCTTAGGTTTTCATCATACCTGATAGAAAGATACAGTCAGGAATAATTATTACTGCACCACAATCTTTCCTTCAAATCCCCATTATAACACTTGTTGAGAGGAAGATACACAGTGAATTTTATTCAGTGCCATCCTGTGATTTCAACTAACAGGAACTATACCTCCATGTTGTACAGCAGCCATTCTCCTTCTATGGGGATGGGGAGCTCCAACTTCACTGTACACCTGGAGACTTAAAATGATTTCTGAAAATTGCTCCAAATTTAAAGTCAGCGAATTCAGGCACACCTTGCTGTGCCTGGCTAACAAATTAGAAAAAAAAAACTGTTCACCACATTTTCATTCAAAGCTTTTCATAAAGCTTCAAAGCTTCTATTAGATCTCCCTTTACGTGCCTAGCTTTTGTGAAAATGTCCAAGTCTTTCACAGCTTTGCTTGTAACTACAATTGCTCTATCACATTACCACCTCAATGAATTTTTACATAAAATAACATTGCTTTTGCATGTACAGAACAACTAATGCTCTCAATCAGTTCTGTTCAATGTATTTTATAAATTCAACATCATTTTCAATTTCTTGTATTTAACGTTCCCGAGGAGGCTGATTTACTTTTGTGTTAACCTTAATTTGCAGTCAGTAGCAGTGGTGCAAAAAAAAAAGATAGAGAAGAAAAAAAAGTTAAAGCAAAAAAAGACAGAAGAAAGGGAAAAGAGACAGAAGAACAAAGAATAAAGGGAGACAAAGAAAGAATCAGAAAAATCCACCATGAGCTCAAACAAAATATTTCCTAATGCAAGTAAAGGGGCCATTTAGCTGGCAGAACAACTCCACACATCTCACATCTCCTCACAGTGCTGGGAAAAATGCATCTAGAAGCTAAAGCCAGCAGGTTGATTTTATCACATTATACTCTTGCACACACTTCAAAAATTTAACTCACACCTCTTTTCCAAATTGTTAAAACAAACAATTCAACTAATGCAAATATAATCAACTTAACCTTCTGCAAAAAATAAACAAAAGTGCAATATTATACCTACATCAACTAGCAGAGCTTCAATTATACACAGGATAGCTTCTATGGTCATCTTGAAAACACTCCAAGTTATACAAAAACAAATATTTCAACAGCCATCTCAATGTAAACTGGGAACAGATTTTCTTCATGCGCTGTGAGTAATGGCTGCTCAGTTCAATGGTTCACACTAATGATAAAGCTTTCATCATTCCAAATCTAGTACCATTCACAGCAAGTATAGTGTTTTTGTGTATACAGCAAATTATTGCCTTTTTCTTCTCTTCCTAAAAGGTACAGTAAAAGTAGCAATAAATCTGATGCAAGTCCAGCAGATAGATTTTATTGGCTCATGTCATATCACACAACAGAATTTATCACTTTATTAAAAGTATTCCCACATACTATGAAATGTTTATAGTTATCCGTTCAAATGCCACTCAGTAGTTACTATATTGTGTTTAGTTTTGATAGCCTCAAGGTAGAATATGTAGGAAACAGAGATCTTTAGGAACAAAGTTAAATCAAATCATTGTATATAAATGGTTTTACAATAGCTTAGCATCAAAAAAAGGGAGAACAGCCTATCATACAAGCATACAACACAGAAGCTCATTCCCAATATTGTGACTGCCAATTATTTGAAAGCGTTTGCCAGTTTATTCTACTCCATTTGTCTTTCTTCACAGGCTTGCAATTTCATTTCCTTCAAAAGTATATTTCATTTTGATAGTTACTTGTATTTTTCCACCATCCTTGAGCACAGTGCATTTGTAATGGGTCACAAAAAATTGCTCAAAAGGACCCCTTGTTATTTCTATTAAATCTTTACTCTCTGGTTACTTGAGTAGGCAAATGCATTGCTGATGACGTAAACTGTGGATAAATGTGAGGTTATCCACTTCAGGAGTTAAAACAGGACAGCAGATTATTATCTGAATGTCAATAGATTGGGAAAGGGAGAGGTGCAATGAGAGCAGAGTCCTAGTACACAAGTTGCTGAAAGTTAGCATTCAGTGGCAGCATACAGTGAAGGTGGCAAATTGTTTGTTGGCCTTCACAATGAGGGGATTTGCATATTAGGAGCATGGATGGCTTGCTGCAATTATACAGCAGTTTGAGGAGATCACATTTGTTGTATTGAATGCAGTTTTGGTCTCTTCATCTGAGGGAGGATGTTCTGGCAATGGCGGGAATACAATGTTTACCAGACTGATTCCTGGGATGGCGGGACTGACGTATGAAGAGAAACTGGATTGGTTAGGACAATATCCACTGAAGTCTAGTAGAATGAAGGGTGGTGGAAAGAGTGTCATAGAAACCAATAAAATGCTAACAGGACTAGACAAGCTAGATGCAGGAGATATGTTTCCGTTGACTGTGGAGTCCAGAATCAGTGGTCAGAGTCTAAGGTTACAGGGTAGACCATTTAGAATTTAGATGAAGAGAAATCTCTTCGCTCAAAACATGGTGAGTCTGTGGAATTCTCTGCCACAGAAAGCAGTTGAGGCTAAAACATTGAATGTCTGCAAGAACAAATTATAGATAATTCTTAGGACTAAAAGGGACCAAAGGATATGGGGAGAAAGTAGGAACAGAGAACAGAATCAGCCATGGTCATACTGAATGGTCTATTCTCTTAAATTTCTATGTTAATGAATCGCTGTGACAGTGGAAACACATTGTCCTTTTATATTCTCTGAAAGCCCCTCAACTTTTAAATTCCTGTACCAAGTCTTCCCTTAACCTACTTTAAAAGAGAACAATGCCAGCTTCTACAGCCTATCATAATTGAAATCCCTCACCTAACCCTAACCCTACAGCCATAGTAAACTTTCATTGCATCCTCTCAATTGCCTTGCAGGTCTTCCAAAAATCTGGTTACCTAAATTTATCAGCAACTCTCCACTTAAGGCCTGTACAGAGATTTAGCATGCCTTTCTTACATTTGTATTATACTGTTCTATCTATAAAGCCAACGATTGTGTCATATCTTTTTTTAAAACATAAAATCTCTTTTTAGAATTTTTTTTATTAAAACCTAAAATTGTGTTACCATGTTGGCAGATTTAATGTAATATTTTTGAATGTGAAAAGTATAGAAATTGGAGGAGAGGGAAACTGAACTTAAGCAATCATATGATTTGTGCTGTGATTTATAATGCCATTGGTTCTTTAATGCTTCTTCACTTAGGTTCTCGGACACAGTGATATTGCAACCAAGGGTTAACATTTGGTACGGATCTCAATCCATCAGTTGCACAACGACCAACCATGATACCGTCTGCTTTCAAACTGATCTAGTCAAAATCAGAAAGTACTGGAAAAACCCAGCAGGTCAGGCAGCATCTGTGGACAGAAAGCAGAGTTAACGTTTCCGGTCCAGTGATCCTTTTTCAGAATGTTCTGACCTTCTAAGTTTCTCCAGCAATTTCTGGTTCTGTTTCTGATTTCCAAGACTTCATTGGATGATCTGGCCAATTATACAATGAATAGCTGATCCTATACTGCCAGATTCAAGGTCTTGCAGGGGGCTTTCAAGATGACTCGAAGTTACTATAGAATACTTAAAGGGGAATCCAAAGCTGTGAAGGGATAAGTCATAGTAATTAAATAAAAATCTGGAAGAGTTAATTTACCATTGGAGAACAGTAAAAAAAGGAAAGGAAAATAACTCAAATGTTATTGCGCTTCATTATTTAAGTTCAGCAAGCTGTGTTGCGTAGGCATTCCATCTATTCACAGCTGGCCTTATGAAATGCCTCCAGCAAACAGAACATTTCAATTTCAGGGAACAGGTGACAACAGCAAGAGAGGAAAGGAAAGCCTATGAGATTAAACCCTCCCACAGTTCATGCCTTGCAGCAGTGAGAGATGCAAAGTTACAAAAGACACCCACACCGTTTTATATAAAAACAAAATCAGTGCCCTTGAACATTATCTCAATACATACCTAATCACTTCAGAAGGAATGATGAGCTGATCATAGTTCAGATGTTCTCTCAGTTCACTTAAGTAGTTTACATATATTACCTTCTTTCCAAATTTATGACTGAAAGAAAATTAGACAATGAATTAAAACATTAAAAAGTGCCATTTCTGAGAATTACGTGTTATTTTAAAACCTATTATTGTCAACCAATATTTGAATTTGTTATACAGATCAGCTCTATGAAAAATGCTTTATGACATGGGGATGATTTTATTCTCATAAAATTACTTATGATTCAGTAATTTTGGAAGTGGAAACATTGTACATCAAGCAAAAGGTTTCTTTGTTGGTTGTGTTTTGAGGTTTGCCACACCCCGAAATATATATTTTTTATTTATATTTAATTTCTTCTATTTGCAGCAATTGAATAGACTGGATTTACAGTTGCAGAAATTGTATGTGTTATATATTTACAGTTTCACTATGTACAAAATAAAATGAATTATAAAACTCTCGATAGCTGAGAATTTATCTGGTGAGTAGCAGCTAGACCAGCTTACTGCCAATCGAAAACCTGAAGTCACCCAGTAATTAACACCGGTCAGCTACAGCACCATGGTGCAGAAACAGTAAAAACGAATGTAGTTGTAGGAGAGGGTAGTATATTAAACAGGAGATATTGTGCTCTACAGGCAAGAATGCATATCCTGAAGGCTGTGCCACCTGCCCGCATTAGAGACATTTACTTAGGGTTGGAGAGCCTGACCTAGAAGCAAATTGGAATTGAGTAAAGAAGTCCAGAGGGCTGAACTCAAAAGATTAGTGTGGAGACAAAGGCTTTTGACTCGTAGGTCACAGGCACAAGTATTCAGCAAAGAAAGAGCTGTAGCATGGAATGACTTCATCCGAAACACACTGTGGACCAGCAGAAAAACCAACACAAAACAACTGCAAGCATGCATTGTAATGGCAAAGTGACCATGGTTGGGGCATGATTATTTAAGGGAATCTGATATTTGGAAGGTCAGGAATAATGGAAAAGGAGGCAGGAAAGCTTTGCTAATAAAGACTCAGATCAGCAGAATATTGAGAAATAATCTGGATTAGAAACAGCAAAGGAAAGAAATTGGGAGTACTTTACAGACTGATTATAGCTACATGACAGAAATAAACCAATAAATAATGGTAGTTTATAAGAAAATTCTATAATAATGTGCAATTTTAATCTTCACAGAAATTCAATAAATCAAATTGGCAAAGCTAGATGAAGAATGAGTTCATAAGACTGTATGGTTCCTAGAAAAGGTTCTTAGAACAACACATTGCAGAACCAACCAGGGACAGGCTACTTTAGATCTAGTAATATGTGGTGTGACAAAATCAGTTAATGAACTCATATTAAAAGGATCTCTTGACGAGAGTGATCAGAACATGATTAAATTTCACATTCAGCTGGAGGGTGAGGAATCTTGTTCTGAAACCAGAATCTTAATCTCAAATGAATACAATTACATGGGTACAAATATATAATTGACATAGACTGGCAAAATATGTTAATATGCAAGATAGTTGAGACGCAATAGCGGACTTACAAGGAGATATTTCATAACCCTCAAAGCAGATATACTGCATTGAGAAAGAATGATTGTGAGAAGGGTTCACAATCCAAAGCTAAAAAAGTTAAGGATGACATCAAATTGAAAGAAAATACATACAATGTTGCAAAGATCAGGACTAGTTCAGAAGATTGGGAATATTTCAGAAATCAGAAAAAGGACAACTTAAGAAAGAAAAGCAAGAGAAAAAAGAGAAACTGGAGGGGAGAAAATGGGAGAATCTTGTGCAAGTACATAAAAAATAGTTAAAGTGAGAGCTGGTCCTTTAGAGAGTGAGAAGGGACTTTTACTTTATCTTTATTCATTCACAGGATGAGGGCATTGCTGGCTAGGCAGCATTTATTGCCCATCCCTAATTGCCCAGAGGGCAGTTAAGAGTCAACCACATTGCTGTGGGTCTGGAGTGACATGTAGGCCAGACCAGGTAAGGATGGCAGTTTCCTTCCCTAAAGGACATTAGTGAACCAGATGGGTTTTTCCCGACAATCGACAATGGATTCATCGTCATCATTAGATCCTTAATTTCAGACATTTATTGAATTCAAGTTCCACCATTTGCCCTGGTGGGATTCAAACCCCAGTCCACAGAACATTTCTGGGTCTCTGGATTAACAGTCCAGTGATAATACCATGAGGCCATTGCCTGCCTTAATAATAAGAAAATAACAGATTTTGTATTTTGTATATTTATTTACAATAGAAGGCACAGAAAGCATCCCAAAAATAGTGGAAAATGAAGAGACAAAATGAGAGAGACAGAATTAAATCATGATCTTTGGAGGTAAGGTACCAGAAAACCTAATGGGACTGAAGGCTATCACATCTGCTGGACCTGATGGCCTGCAGCCTAGTGTCTTAAAGGAAGTGCCTGCAGGCATAGAGATCACACTGATTGTGAATTTGGAAAATTACAAAGTTCTGGAAAGGTCCTAGCAGATTGGAAGTCCACATATACAACATCTCTCTTCAGGAAAGAAGGGAGACAACAGGCCAATTTAGCATGTATCATTGGGAATATACTAGAGACATTAATTAAGGAGGAAGTAAAAAGACACTTAGAAATCATAGTACAATATTGACCCTGTTTATCTGAAAGGGTAATTGTATTTGACAATCTATTAGAGTTCTGAGAAGATTTAACAAGCCCACGTGGATACATAGAAATTAGTAGAATCAGTGTCTTTGGATTTTCAAAGAGCATTTGACAAGGGTGACATAGAAGATTATTGTACAAGATAAGAGCTCAGGGCTTTAGAGGTGATATATTGGCTTGGTAGGAGGCTTAGCTAACCAACAGGAAACAGAATGAATTGATTATTTTCAGGTTGGAAAACTGTAATAAGTGGAGTGCCACAGAGATGAGTGCTGGAGCCTCAACCAATTACCATTTCTATAAGGAGCTGGATGAAGGGACTAACAGTATTGAAGCAAACCTTCAGGTGACTGATAGGAAGGCAAGGTGTGAGGAGGATTCGGAGACCTACAAAGTGATATAAAAACATTAATTGGGAACACGCAAAAAAAATTTGCAGTGTATTGTGGGAGAATGAGGCTTTTCACTTTAGCAGGATGAAGAACAAAAAATAATGACTAGGAAGGCAACTAGAGTGACAGTCGTAACTACAAAATGGAGTTCAAGTATAAAAGAAAATAGGTTTTGCTACAACTACACAGGTCACTGGTGAGACGACATCTGGGAGTACTGTGTACAGTTTTAGTCTCCTTACTTAAAGCGGGTCATGATTGCACTGGGAGCAGTTCTGAGAAGGTCACTAGGATGATTCTTGAGATTAAGGGGCTGGCTAATGAGGAAAGATTGAACACAGTGTGCCTATCCTCATTAAATGCGATTGAGAGGCATCCTCATAAAAACATACAAGATTCTGAAGGAGCTTGCTAAGGTAGATGCCGAGATGATATTTCTCCTTGCGGGCTAATCTCAAACTAGGGGGCATAGTTTAAAAGATGGGATCAGCCAGTCAAAACCAAGATGAGAAGGAATTTCTTCGAGGATCATTAGTACTCGGAACGCTCTTCCTTGAATAGCGGTGAAGGCTGGGTCCTGAATATATTTAAGGTTGAGTTAGACAGATTTCTGATCAACGAGCAAGGGTTATGGGGGTGAGAGAGGCAGAGGGTTGGAGACGGATGGTGGGAAGGCAAGAAAGTGGAGGGAAAACCACAGTCAGATCAGCCTACTGAATGGTAGGACAGGTTTGATACACCAATGGCTTTATTTCTTATGGTCAAATGAAGTTAAACGACAGGAGGCAGTTCCAAACCAAAGAGCACATCAGCAGGAAGTCAGTCAGTCAGTTGGTCATCAAAAAGATATAAATTGCCAGTCACTTAGCACCAGCCAACATAAGAAGCTATTCATCAACTGACTGCAGCTTGTTTTCTGACAGTCATCCATTTTCTCGACACCAAACTGTTACAAATTCACATCCACCTTTGGGTCTGTTTCAGAGTTGGCGTAAAGCCAATGAGCAGGAGCCAAACACCTGTCTCAGTTTACAATCATTTGACAAGAAAAAAAAAGTCTGCAGAATTGCAAACAGAATGGGAGAATAAGTGCTCGTAAAAATTAAGATGGAGGTTGGGGTTGGCGAAGAGGAATTAACAGCTTTCAAACTCATGATCTGAGACTTGGGTTGCAGAGTTTATAAATAAAGAGCAGGAACAGGATGGAGAGGGGGAGAAAAAAAAAGATAAAAAGCTTGAAGAGTTTACAGAATTGGGAGTGAAGAGAGAGAGACAGTTGTGTTGGGTGGGGTAAAGTTGCAGTCAGCTGGCTCTGCTTCTTTATAAACTTCAATAAAGGCACAGGGACTTGTAAATTGTGAGGTTTCTCCTGCTACTGGAACACTGCTGTATTGATTCAAACTCATTTGAAAAGTCAGACCCCAATCAGTAATATTGCCCCTTGTACTTCTGATTCTGTCAGCAATCACTGCCCAATCCCATCATAAAAGTGATGGAGACAAGCATATTGCAGCCAGAAAATCAACAATTCAGCTTCAAAAAGAAACCTGAGGCACACCCGGCTAGTGCAATGTGCTTTGCCACATCACCTTTGTCAGCAATCTCGGAGACCTCCTAACCTTAAACCTCCCATCTTTCATTGCACAGCATCTCAGATTGTTACAGCGTGGAATGTGCGCTCTTAGGGGTGCGACCCGGTGAAATGACAGACCATGTTCACCAAACATACCTTATAATTGGCTTGAAAATATTCCAAAGGATTCGAATAAAATTTGTCGGGTGCACAACATAAAGGGCTTTGAGATTTTTCTTGTATCTAGAATAAAGGAAAACCATCTTTGAAACAAAGGAGCAGAAAAATAAAAGTTATCTTATTGTAGTGTCACATCATTGCATTAATACTAGCTTGGGAATAAGTGAAATTTTAGTAGCACATTTGATATCACCAGGCAACGATCAGGAGAATTAATCACAGGCATCACAGCCAGTTTTTGGTAATAACCCAAGTTATTGATGGAATGGTAAATGCGAGGTGTTCCATTTTGGTAAGACAAACCAGGGCAGGATTTATACCATTAATAGTAGAGCCCTGGGGTGTGTTGTTGAACAGAGAGACCTAGGGGTTCAGGTACATTTGTTCCTTAAAAGTGGAGCGGCAGGTGGACAGGGCGGTGAACACGACATTTGGCATGCTTGCTTTCATCGGTCAGAGTGTTGAGTACAGGAGATGGGACGTCCTGTTACACCTGTACAAGACAATCAGTAAGGCCACATTTGGACTGCCGCATACAATTCCGGTCACCCTGCTATAGGAATGATGTAGTTAAACTGGAAAGGGTGCAAAAGGACGCGACTACGACTGGAAGGTTTGCGTTATAAGGAGAGGCTGGATAGGCTGGGACTTTTCCCCTGGAGCATAGGAGGCTGAGAGGTGAATTTACAGAGGTTTTTAAAATTATGAGGGGTATAGACAAGGGGAATAACCAAGGTATTTTCACCAGGGAGTCCAAAACTAGACGGCATAGGTTTAAGATGAAAGGGACAAGATTTAAAAAGGAACCCGAGACTGGTGGAACGTATGGAATGAGCTGCCACAGGACGTGGTAGAGACAGATATAATTAGAACATTTAAAAAGACATTTGGACAGGTACATGTATAGGAAAGGTTTAGAAGGATATGGGCCAAACGCCGGTAAATGGGACTAGCTCAATTTAGGAAACCTGGTTGGTATAGATGAATTGGGCCAAAGGGCTTGTTTCTGTGCTGTATAACTCTATGACTCTATAACTGGATTTTTTTGGATTAGCTCCATACTAGCAAGTGCGTTTACCAACTCAACTATTGGGAAGTTAGGTAGTACAATTTAAACACTGTACAGCATGGATGGGCTTTGTCATCAATATGTAATGTGACTACGATCTCCCAGTTATCATAGGATACAACTAAACAGAGTGGCATTTCAGTGTAGTTAAGCACTGTCCATGCAAAGTTCTTCACTCTTTTGTTTCCATCAATGTATTTACTGTGTATTCAGTTATCTATTAAAGATCCTGCTCAAAACTCCAAGCGTTATCTTCTACAACTTTCAATAGATAAAAAAAGGACATTATGACATTCATTGTTCATCGTTTTTCAGCTGAGAATGGTCAGCTGTCAACTGTTTCATGCTTCCAGGCTGTTATTGATATAAAAGGCTTCAGGAGATAAGAAAATATTTCAGTGGACTTCTGATTTACAAAACAGCAAAAAAGTCACGGATTTATCTTCACATCCATCATGGATGCAAACATCTTCGATGATGTTACTAATTTTGGGCTGAATATAGTCAGAGTCACAGAAACTAAAGATCAATACAAAATACACTCGACAAAAAAGTCAATTAGAGACTACTTCAGAAAATTTTCAAAGCACAAACTTATTTGCAGCTTCCTCTGGCTCATTACTTCAAACTCTCTGCCTCCAAGATAATTTTACACCACTTTACTTTTTTTAAAATGTCAACTTTTGGCAGAAAATGAAATTTTCCAATATAAGTTAGAAATTGCACACCAGGAATACTCTTAGTACGTCCCCAGTGACAAACCAAAATGATATGGTACAAGCTGTACTTTTGCTCAAAATAATTCAAAGCACTTGGCACTCAAGAACACATTTGTTCTATAAGTTAAAAAAAAAAACTGGTAGACTTTGCCAACTGACAGATCTTTCTTCTCAATGTTACAATTTTTATCCAAGTCACATTAACCATACTTTAATTTTGAAGCCCTATAAGAAATACCGAGAAAGAATAATCCATAACAGACTCTGCAACTGAAAGAGGACCCTTGATTGATACTTTGGACAGACACATTACAATTGTTTCAAGTGAAATAGCCTATTGGTGGAACTCTTGTCCAAGTCATAAAATTTTTGCTGCGTATACAATTCCAGAAATTGAGGATTTAATCTAGGCAAACACAACAAGACTGAGGGAGAATGCCAAAGTAGGAGATGCTGCCTTTCAAGTGAAAAATTTAACAGAGATCCTGTCTTATTATTCCAAGTGGACATGAAAATCCAGAAACTCTATTCAAGGAAGAAAAAGGGGAGTTCCTCAGACTCTCACCCAAAATATATCTCTCAATCAACACCTACAAAAAAAATTAACTGCCTTGCAATTGATGCCCTTACTGTTTGGAGATGTTACTATTAGATTTAGAAATCAATCATGAATCAGATTAAATTAACAGCCAAACCCTGTATGAAAAGGTTATCAAGTAGCTCTTAGCTTCAAAGAGAAAAATATATGCAAGGCAATACGTCAGAGATTGTCCACAGTAAATTGGGCCATTACGTTAAATGGAAAAAAGGACAGAAGATCAGGGAGATAGCAAGAACTGCAGGTGCTAGAATCAGAGACAACACAGTGTGGAGCTGGATGAACACAGCAGGTCAGGCAGCAGAGGAGCAGGAAAGTTGATGTTTCTGCTCGGGACCCCAGAAGGCTCCACATTGTGTTGTCTCAGAACATCAGGGAGATCAACAGCAAATTTGTGATAAGGAGTTAGTTCATATCCTAAGGACAGGAGTTCTAGATGTCAAGCAAAACATCCATGAACCATTAACGGAGGCAACAGATCATATTAAAATGAAATAAAAAGCCCACAAAATTTACAAATCATCCTACATGACTTAACATTTGAAATAGAAATATACAAACTAGGAGCAGGCATCTTCTCTGCCAGTGAATATCATCATGGCTGACTCCCTATTTCCATGCCATATTCCTGCTTTCTCTCCATACACCTTTGATACCTTTAATATCTGAAAATGTGTCAATCTCTTCCTTGAATATATTCAGTGGCAAGGTCTCCAGTCTTCTGCAGTAGAAAAATCTACAGGTTGGTTATCTTTTGAGTGAATGAATGTTTCCTCATTTCAGTCTGAAATGATTTACCCCACATCCTGACACTGTGTCCCCTGGTTCTAGACTTGCCAACCTGGGAAACATCCTCCCTGCATCTAGTCTGTCCAGCCCTGTTAGAATGTTATACATTTCAATCTGATCCCCTCTCATCCTTCTAAACTCTAATAAAGGCCTATTCAAACTAATCTCTCCTTGTACAATAGCTCCATGGTCCCCAGTGTCAGCCTAGTGAACCTGCATGGCGCTCCCTCAATGGCAGGTATATCCTCCCTTGGGTAGGGAGACCAAAACTGCATGCAGTACCAGTGAGATCTTTGAGACTGGTGTGGTCTCAAGGTTCCATATACCTGCAATTAAACATCCCTACTTCTGAACTCAAACTCTCTTGCAATGAAAGCCAATTTGCCATTTGCCTTCTACTTGCATTGACTGGTGTACAAAGGGAGACACCCAGAATCCTTTGTACATGCACACTTCCCAATAGATCACTAAGTAACTAATACTCCTTCTTTCTGTCTTTCACACCAAGGTAGAACTTCATATTTATCCACATTGTGCTGCATCTGCCCACACACTCAACTTGTCTAAATCAACTTGAAGCCTCTTTGCATCCTTCTAACAACGATCAATCTTGTCCAGTCTAGTTTCATTGGCGAACTTGTAAATGTTGCACTTGGTTCTCTCAACCAGGTCATTGATATAAATCATAAATAGTTGGAGTCCAAGCACGGATCCTTGCAGTACCGACTAGTCACTGCTCACTACTTTCCTCTTTTGTTTTTGTACCAGAAAGGAATGAATAATTGTAATTCAGGCACGTGTTCTTTAAATATGAATGATTGCCTTTTTACCATCAACCCGTTTAGTGAGGTTCCCCAATCTATGCTGGCCAATGCATCTTATAGCATCATAGTTGCTACTATTTTGACTTAGGACTCCAGTTTCAGATTTGACTACTTCACTCTCGAGCCTAACAAACAATTTTATCATATTATGATTGCTCTTCCCCAAGAGACCCTGTACAACAAGATTGTTCATTAATCTTTTCTCATTGCACATTAGAATACAATTTGCAATTATATTCTAGAATACAATGAATTTTATACTTGTATCACTTTAAATGAGATTGATATGCTTTTCTAGCCAAAGGTATGAAGGAATATTTGGCAAAGGAGAAGACATTGATTTATGTAACAAATCAGTCGTGATCTGACTGAGTGACTAAATGGACTCAAGTGATTAAATAGAAAACAGAAACAAGAGTAAGCCAAGTACAAATTTGCTGCCGTGTTCATTTACAAAACCACAGTGATTGCATTTGTAAAGCGACTTTTTTGGTTGCGTAGGGTGAAGATACACTTTGGGGGTAGATTTCTTTTTTAAACTTTAAGCTGTTCAGACATTTTATTATGAACCTTTGGAGCAGATGAAACTTGGATCCAGGCCTGGAGCTAAGGTTGTTACCAATGCACCACAAGAGTCCTCTAAACATTGAGAGTACACTTGCAAGTAATATCAAGATGGACAGCAATAGCTTCTTTAAATATATTAAAAAAAAAGGAAGAGAGGGGCTAAAGTTAACACAGGCTGCTAAAAGAACAAGGCTAGGGAAATAAAAATGAAAAAAAAACAGGAAATGGCAGAGGAATTGATTAAATGTCTTGCTTCAGTTCTCACAACAGAGTATATAAACAGCATATCAAAATTACTAAATAATCAAGGAGCAAAAGGAGGGGAGGAGTAAAACTATACTAACTGCTACTAGAGAAAAAGGTGCTGGGAAAATGGAAAGGCTAATGATTGATAAGTCCCCTGGACCTGATGGATGTACCCTAGAATTTTAAAGAAACAGCTACAGAGATAGTGGATGCACGGCTAGTGATCTTCTAAGAATCCTTAGATTCTGGAAAAGCCCCAGTGGATTGGAAGACTACCAATGTGACACCTTTATTTAAAAAGGCAAAAACAGACCAGTTAGTTAAATGCCTGCAATTGAGAAAATGTTAAGAGTCTGTTATAAAGGATTAATAGTAGACTATTTATAAATGCATAATATGATCAATTATAGTCAGCACGGCTTCATGAAAGGGAAATCCTGCCTGATAAATTTATTAGAATTGTTCAAGGTGATAGGCAGGATAGATTAAGGGAAAGTAATATATTTGGATTTTCAAAAGGCATTTGAAAGGTGCCATACATTTGGCTCTTAATAAGACCCCATGATGTTGAAGGTTTATTAGGATGTATGGAGGATGGGCTAACTAATAGGAGACAGAGTTGGGATAAGGACATTTTCAGGTTGGAGTTCCCCAGGGATCACTGCTAGGGCTACAACTATTGATAATATATTTCAATAACTTGCTTCAGGAAAATGAATGTACTATAGTGAAATTTGCTGACGTGATAATAACAGCTTGGAAGGTAAGTGGTGAGGATCACTGAGTGTATAAAGGGATGTAGGTAAGTTAGGTGACTGGGTAAAAACTTGGCAGATGTGGAAAGCAGGAAGCATAAAGGGAATGAATATTATTTAAATGGATGATGACTGCAGAAATTTAGAGAGCAGAGGGATTTGTGTGCCCTTGTGGACAAAAGGCTACCCTTTATTTCAAAGAGAATGGAGTATAAAAATAGGGAGGTCTTGGAAAACTACACTAGTCAGACCATAGTTGAAAGCTGTGAATAGTTTTGGGCACTTTATTTAAGCAATGATAGACTGGCCTACTTTTGCTCCTACGTTTTATGGTGGTGCTCTGACACATTTGCTGGCTTTGTTCTTCTAAGTGGATGGAAAAGATGCATATAAATTCAAGTTCATTCGATTACATTTTCCCTTTTTATAAAGGCCATATGCGATCAGTACCATTTAAATTAATCTTGGCTTTTTTTTAAAATCAGCAGCATGGAAAGGCTGGTGGTGTAGTGGCAATGTGACTAGACTAGTAATCCAGTGGTCAGGCTAACGCTCTGGGGGCATGGGGGTCTAATCCCACCATAGCAAATCAATTCAATTAATAGGAAATATAAAGCTGGTCTCGGTTGGGCAACTATCAATTTTACTTTTAAAGCTTAAGATGCCATTAGTATTAATATTTGCTGCCAGCTGCATCTACTTTGTCTTAAAAAAGTGAAAGCTCAACTTCTTTCAGAGCTCCTGACCCGTTATAGGAATATAACACTTCACACTTTCCCTGCTGAAACCATTACATAATCTGTTTAATATGACAGTATGCTTGCACTGATGATGCACACATCTTGCTCAGCATGAAGCTCTGTGAAAAGTCTGCTATACTGAATTTTATCACAAACTGATACTTCCAAGTCTACCAATAAAAAAGTGATCTTCAACAAGCTGAAAAAGGAGATCAGAACCAGATAATTGTGGGAGAATGATACAAAATGCTTGTTGTGTCAGAATGGGAAAAAAAGCAAACACTCCTTTCATCGCAGTAAATGCTTTGGAAAACAAGCAAAGAAACTGGTACCTTCGTCCTACACCACTCACAAGCAAAGCACAGAAAGATCTATTTTGAATGATATGGAACAAATTGCCTTACTTTCTGTCAAATTCCTTGTAGGCATGCTGTAGCCAACTTAAAGATGGTTTGTTGCTACTCCGGAGCCCGTAATGAAAGTAAACAAGAATATAATCGCTCTCAACATACTGGTCCAGAGTGTACTTCAGGTATCTGCATCAGTGGGGAAAGCAAAGCATATTATTGCAATAGCAATGAAATGTCAATGCTACTTTTGAAGTTTAAGCCCACGTGAAAGTTCTATTTTGCCAGAGACTGATTTTGAATAGAGAGGAGCACACATTTCAAAAAAATACATTTGCAAGATACTGATTGTTGGAAAGTTGCCATCCAATCTAAAATAAAAGCAAACTTTGCCCACAGAATGTTTGCAGGAATTATAAGATGTTAGTCACCAATAAGCAAATCACTTCACTTTAGTGATTAAGCCTAAACTGTTATTTAATGGAAGTTTTAAATGGTTGGGGCAGAGATGTTGCTTGAATTATTGTCCAACTGAACCTCTTACTCATCTAACATCTGCAGGTGCACCAAGACAAGTAACGACCAGGTCTGCAACCCCAACCAATTCCTTGCCCTAACCAACTCTTTTTTATCTGTAAATTCTAAAGGAATTGCTGTAGCTATCAAAGGATGCAGTAACAAACGTTATAACTGACAGGACATTGGATTTGAAAGCAAGTTCTATCAAATGCAGTTTTCACACTGCTAAATGAAACAAAGCCAGATCAGTGTTTTTCACACAAGTGAGCTCAGGCAACAAATTTCAAGCCAATTTTGTGAAATTGTACAGTTATACAAGGTCAATCTATTGCTTGAAGATAGGAATCAGAGTTAACTCATGATCGAAAAGAAACCTTTAGGTACAGCGAAATGCATTTTAAGATATTTAGTTTTATGAAATATTCACAATACTGATTGCCCGATGAATGAATAAATGAATGAATGTAAATTCTTTCCTTCACCCAGAGGATTTCTGATGGCTTTTCTGGAGGATTAAACAGAGGGAAAGAACAACTATATGATTTCGTGCAGACCCTGAATGTACACAATGTGGCTAATGTGACAACAAATCCAATTTTCCCCATTGACTTAGCTGTGAATACATATAATGTGGAATGGAAAAGGAACTACTAACAAAATAAGAATCAAGACAGATTCATCAGAACACCGATATCACATGTGCTACAAACCACAAGGTGGCACTGTCAGATCAATTTTTAATTCAAACACAGAATGAAAAATTCGAAGTGAAGGTTGGAAAATTCCATCAATCAGTTTGCACATGGACGCAGCAGACTGATAATTATGTCTATCAGTACAGCTAATATGCTAGGAGGGCTCAACTTGTTGGGATACTCTCAAGCAAATTTAAAAATTGTTTTAAACAAAATCCTATTCATCATCTATTTGACAAAATCCTATTTTGCCAAAGCACAAATTGTGGAAAATTAATTTTAAGCACGAAATGCGCTTAAATTAAAGCTTAAAAAGTTGTTTAATTCAAAGCAAACAAATTCCCCAAACAAGAGAGGAAGTTGCTATAATCACACTTAGTAACCATAGTGCGGAAATACCAATGGGACTGTTGGGATCATGAATGAAAGATTTTGCCACAGAAGATTATTTGAAACTTACTCGAGCAACTTCCGATGGTTAAGCTGATGGGAAGGAGGCATTCGACAACTGCTAAAAATAACCAGTTTTCTTCCATAATTGTCATCACCTAATTGGAAAGAAACCAGACTAAATGCAATTTGCAACATTATAAAGCTGAAAAGAGATGATACATCCAGAACAGACAGTGGTAGGATTTTTCAGCCAAAATACATTACAGGTTAGGATACTGTCTACTACTATTCCTGTTCTGTAAAAATCCTTGCTTTGATTTAATGCAAAATATATCTGTGCTGCAGATGTATCATTTTATACCCAGATTAGGTTATAGCATCTAATGGGTCAAGTTACTGGTAACCTGCAAATTTATGCACTTAAAATTCTAATATTGGACAGCAACTGCTGTGCACAATGTACTTGTGTTCTGAGCAATTTGTTGTATAGATAATGGTTCTGAAGTGGTTAGTGATTCCTCCCATTTGACTGGGCAGCACATGGCACAGTGGTTGGCACTGCCACCTCACAGGACCAGGGTCACGGGTTTGATTCCAGCCTCGAGGGTTAAAAAGGCGTCTGGCACGCTTGCCTTCATTGCTCAGTCCTTTGATTATAGGAGTTGGGAAGTCATGTTGAGATTGTACAGGACATTGGTGAGGCCTCTTTGGAATACTGTGTCCAGTTCTGGTTACCCAGTTATAAGAAGGATATTATTAAGCTGGAGAGGGTTCAGAAGAGATTCACCAGGATGTTGCTGGGTGTGGAAGGTTTGAGTTATAACGAAAGGCTGGGACTTTTCTCAGTGAAGTTCAGATGGTTGAGAGGCGACCTGATAGAAGTTTATAAAATAACAAGAAGTACGGGTGTAGTTAATGGTAGTTGTCTTTTCCTTAGGATGGGGGTTTTCAAGACTAGGGGTCACATTTTTAAGGTGAGAGGAGAGAGATGTTTTAAAAAAGACACGAGGGGCAATTTTATTTTTTTTTTTTTTACAGAGAGTGGTTTGCACGTGGAATGAACTTCCTGAGGAAGTGATGGATGTGGGTACAATTACAACATTTAAAAAAACATTCAGATAAGTACATGAATAGGAAAGGTTTGGAAGGATATGGGCCAGGAGCAGGCAGGTGGGACTAGTTTAGTTTGGGAATATGTTCAACATGGACTGGTTGGACTGAAGGGTCTGTTTTCACACTGAATGACTCCATGACTGCCTGTGTGGAGTTTGCACATTCTCCCCGTGTCTGCGTGGGTTTTCTCCGGGTGCTCCGGTTTCCTCCCACAGTCCAAAGATGTGCATGTTAGGTGGAATGGCCATGCTAAATTGCCCATAGTGTTCAGGGAGGTGCGGGCTAGGCGGATTAGCCATGGTAAGTGTGGGGTTATGGGGATATGGTGAGCGTCTGGGTCTGAGTTGGATGCTCTTCGGAGGGATGGTGCAGACCCGATGGGCTGAGCAGCCTCCTTGTGCACTATTGGGATTCTATGACTGATGTCACACAGTCAGTGGGTAGAGACAAAACAGTTATATACTCACTTTCAGAGGGAATGGAAGTGATCCAGTTCCTTTTGATCTCTCATTACCACATTAGGATTATAAAAACTAGTGACAGGGCATAAATTCCCAATTGCAACGCATTATCAGTTTTAATGGAATAAGCCAATAGAGTGATTTGTGTTGGCCATTTTACTTAATTATAGATAAGAATCAGATTGGTTTGCCAAAACCTTCTTTGATTTTTAATATATCAATTGCATTACTTAATAACCTAATTCTCTGTTGAGAATGAGTCTGACTGCAAGACAGGAATCAACCACCATCCATTCTTAGCATACACACAAAATTGTGAGCAAAGGACTTCAGAATAGACCGTTGCCAGAAGTGCATGCAAACTTAAGTAAATTCATCTTGAGTGTTGTCTTCAAGGCCAAAGGAAATTTTTGCGTCAAGATACAGTTAGGTGAATAGGAGAGAACTGGACCAACATGGTAGAGAAGGGACAGAAGGCAAGGCAATAGCAGAATGAGTAAAATTTCACATCTTTCATTGATAATTCCTGTACAGCTGCACAATTTCATCTTCTTTATGACTTTTGATACAGGGTGGATTTACACAATTTATCTGTGGGTCATACTGGGACAGGAGGATTTATTTTCTCCTAATCATTTCAGTCTAACAGGTAAGTAATTCTTACAAGACACAGCCTTCTGCGATGGCAGCTTCTCAGGATCTCACTCAGCTAGAGTCAGCCACCAGGGATTTTCCAGCTGTTTTTAATAGTGTTTTTCATTGCTTTACGTTATCGAGTTCCACACTGACTTTGTAAAAGATGCTCCATATTTCCTTAAACTTAACTAATTTCACTAGGAAGGGAGGGGTTTAGGGGTGGTACATGATTCTAAAGGGTAGTTATTTATCTTTATTTTGGTTGGCCGCATTATATGACGATAATTAATCTCACACCACGGCCTGCATTCTATTACTGTTGCAATACTGTGACATTCATGACGTTCAATATAATTTGGATTTGAAGTCAATCACATTAGAGAGGCATATCTCATTGTTTCTTCAATTCTAACTAACTTGATTACCTTTGTAATGTAGTTCTGTTGTATTGTTTCATACCATGTTAGCTGTTATCTTGTGTATTATATATATTCTTTGCATTTTCCATAAACAGGAATCTCGGTAAAAATCCTTGGTGCCATAATGGATAAAACAGCGAGGACATTTAAATTCTATTTACCCACCTGCTACTTGGACTATTCCATGCCTTGCAACATCAAAAAATGGGTGACTGAGATCTAGGGGAGGGACTGCAGCAAATGGAGTAAGCACTGAAACTGAACTTGCACCACTCAAAATCTTCTGTTCTTCCTCATCTTTGCAAAGCTCTGTTAAATAATAAACAAACAAAAAAAAAGGATCTAGATTATTATGTACCATCACTATACTTAGGTTACCCAGGTTTTAACAGGGGAAGGAATATGAGACTTTGTGTTCGGCCTCCCACCACACTCTTCGTGTTTGTTTTTGAAAGGTTTTCACCGCAACACTGAACACTTCACTCCCAGTACGTCAATCATCAGTTTGATGTAATCTTCCTTTTGGAAAAAGCTTCCTCACACATTATTTCTGTTGCTGCTTATTAACAGATATTTGGTCTAGTGGTAGCATATTTCCCCTAGATTTAGGGAGGAGTCGACAGAGTTTTTTTTAAAAAAAATATGAACTAAAGCTAAATTTGCAGGACTGGCATTTTATATTCACATACACAACGAAACAACACCAACTTTAAGAAATAGGATCACGTTATCGTCCCAGTACACAGAGCTTCTGCAAGGCTCTTCTAAGCATAATAATGAACGTTAATCTGTATCCACTATCCTGCATTAGTTAACAAAGGGCTGTGTTATTGCTTGAAAATAGTGAACTTTACTATTGAATAGACAGTACCAACAAATAGAAAGAACTTAAAACTACGAAAGAAAAATGCTGTATACGGCCTTCATTTTAGACTCGTTATTCAGGATGGTCTCCAGTTACATTTTAACACCTTTATTGTAAAAAGCTCTGGCGATGCCAACAGTCCCAAATGCAATTATTTCACACCTCACAGGCTTTCATGTAGGCATTTGTGACATTGCTGTCAAATTCCAGAGAACTGAACTCACTTGCAAAGTTAAACATTACTCCCTATCTCCACTTACCTTTCTCAGCCAACTGCTCCAGGTTCATGTCAGCTCCTTAAGTCACACTGAATGTTGTTCAATTGCCTTTTTCCAGTGAAGAAGTAGCTTTTGATTAAATTAGAAACTGAAAAGAAAAATATTTTGTTTAAAAACAAAGTAGATTACGTTAGTCTATGACCAATGATCTTCCCTCCTCTCTAACAATGGGTATGTGTGCTGTGTGTCACAACTCACCGCATGCCTGACTCACAAATAAGTTAGTGAGTCATTCATAAACACGTTTAGTTTCATAATGGCTCATATCATCACCATAGTCCAATCTAAATAGAAAAATCAGTTGCTCACAATGGTAGTAATTCAAAGTTATTCCTATACCATTTATGGCTCTTTCACAAAACCCAAAATCAAAAAAAAACACTCTGGAAAGTAATATCCTATTAGTATAAGACCATAAGATGTAGGAGCAGAAATAGGCCATTCAGCCCATCAAGTCTGCTCTACCATTTAATGAGATGATGGTTGATGTGATGATTCTCAACTCCACTTTCCTGCATTTTCTCTATTACTTTGTATTCCTATACTGATTTGGAAAAACAACTGTCTATCTCAATCTTGAATACACTTAATGACTCAGCCTCTACAGTCCTCTGTGTTAAAGAACTCCACAGATTCACTAACACAGAAGAAATTTCTCATCTCCATCTTAAAATATGTGACCCCCTATTCTGAGATTATGCCCTCTCCTGGACTCACCCTCAGGGGAAACAACCTTTTCACATCTACCCTGTGAAGTCTCCTGCGTGTCTTGTGTAAGATCTCTCATTCTTTTAAATTCCAATGAGTGCAGGCCCAACCTAAACAATCTCTCCTTAAACTCAATCCCTCCTACCTGGTATCAGCTTGGTGAAACTTCCCTCAACTGCTTCCAATGGCTGTATATCTTTTCTTAGATAAAGGGGCTCAAAACTATTCAAAAACTCCACCTGTGTTCTAACTAATGCCCTGTAATTCTAAGCAAAACTTGCCTACTTTTACATTGCGCTTCCTTTGAAATAAAGGCCAACATTGCATATCCCTTCTCAATTTCCCACTGAACTTGGATACTAGTTTTGTGTGACTCAAGGGCTTTTTGTTACAGTTATTCTCCATTTAAAATAATAACCCCCTATTCTTCCTGCCAAAGTACATAACCTCACATTTTCCCACCTTCTACTCCACCTGCCAAGTTTGTGACAATTTGCATAACCTGTCTAAATCCCTCTGCAGACTCAGTCATTCTCACCACTTGCTTTCTCATCTATTTTTGTATTCCACTAACATGGCTATAGTGCATCAGTTTCCTCATCCAAGTTATTAATACATACTGTAAATTGCTATAGCCCCAACACTCCACTAGTTACAGGTTGTCATCCTGAAAATGTCCCCCATTTCAAACTCTATCTTCTTTTAGTTAGCATGAATAGAGGATTGGCTAATATACCTTTAACACCATGGGCTCTTATTAAGGAGTCTAATTTGTAGTACCTTTCCAATACTGTCTGAAAATCTAAACACAGTACATCCACTGCTTCTCCTTTATCTATTCTGCTTGTTACCACCTCAAAGAATTTTAGTACCTATGTCCGGCATGATTTCTCCTTCTTGAAGGCATGTTGACTCTGCTTCATTATATTATGTATTTCTAAATGGTCTGCTATTGCATTCTTTACGATAGACATTAACATTTTCCTAATAACAGATGTTGCGCGAAAATGACTGTGCTGGTTTGAGGTCTGTAATCTCAGCTCTGAGACCTCTGCAGGAAGCTGGTGACAGTCAAAAGCAGCACTTGTGCCCCATGATGGCACAAGTGGAGAATCTTTGCGACAACCTTCTCTGTGGCAGACAGAGAAGATCACCACTCTGTTCATTACTGCAATTTAGTCTTATCTCCTACTGGTCGCCACAGGGTAAGTTGTTACAAAGATTCACCGCAATTGCCTCCTGCCTATGGCTGGAAATCTCCCATCAGTCATGAAGCAGATTCCATCCATCAAGAGACACCAGTCTCTCTGTCTACTTTCAATATTTCACCATGATCATCACAGCAAGAATGTAGACAGCAACAACAGGCTTTATACATGGACGTCTTTGACCTCACTAAGTTGTTTGACTCTGTCAAACGAGAAGGAGTATGGAGTGAGGCCCTCAAATCTGGCTGCACGTGGAAATCCATCCCCATTCTCTGCTTGCTGCATGATGGTAAGGCAGCTGTGGTCCTCACCAACAGATCCAATGAGTGGAAAAACTGGTGTCAAGAAAGGCTGGGTAATCACACCAATTTCCTTCACTATCTTCCTCGTCACAACACTCCATCCCATATCCATGATGCTTCCGACTGGACTGCAGCTTATCTACAGGACTAGTGAGAATCTATTCAACCTCCAGTGCAGAACCAACTCCACCCCCAACCTCTCATCGAGCTGCAGCTTACAGACAACCTTTGCTAGTGCACAGACTAAGACACTGAGTTCCAAAACAAATCATTGATGCATTCCCCAAGGTGCAAGTAAGTGAGCTGCAGGATATAATCTGGAAGACAAGTGGCCTTTTTCCAGCCTGTTCCCAGTACACAAACCTATTGCCTGACCATCAGGATCCACAGCAAGCCATTAGAAAATATGGATCAATTCCCATACCTTGGGTAAATGAGGGTAGACATTGACAACGAAATTCAATATCACAGCCTCTGGCTGTCTGAGGAACACTGGAAGCTGAGTGTCTGATGGCAAAGATCTCAAACCTGATGCTAATCTCACTGTTTGCAGGGTAGCAGAGTTAGAGCTCTCCTATATGGATCAGAAACTTTAACAAGGCACAGCAAACACATCAAATTCCTTGACAAGTATCACAGCCATGCCTCTGCAGGAATAGGTACTCCAGTACGAGTGTCCTGTCCCAGGCCAACATCCCCAGCACTGAGGTACTGGTTACAGTCAATCGTTGTTGGGGGAAGGAGGCACATCATTTACATCCGACACAAGCTCTCTGCTCCAAGCTGTGTCACAGCATGTGGTTACCAAGACAGGAAAGGGAGCTTTTCATGGGTGTCCTTAAGTCTTTCCCAAACAAAAAAAAACTGTAACATTCACATGGATTCATGGGGCTCGCTTGCCAAGACCACCCGATTCAGAGAAGTATCTACACAGGAGCCAAACATTGAGCACAGATGGAGAACAACAGCAAACTGCAGAAGGAGTGTGCAAAATCCATAGCCAGCCACCCATCCGCCTCAGCAACCACCACCCCGTGCCACGTAAAGCATGGTGTGCCAATCAGCATTGATTGCTTTGACACTCAGGATCCACAACACCAGAATAGAAGAAAAAAAGTCATCCTCAATCCAAAAGGGAGTGCCTAAGAAGAAATGAACCTGTTCCATTACTGCCACACTACACTATACAATGCAAGCTGCGATGAAAGCCTCTACGTACTCATTCAAAACAGGGTCAGTGTTCTCTGCCCCTTCTCAGGGCACTTAATTTCAGAGCATCAGTTAAATTTCTGTGGTTCATCTATTTGCTAGGTCAAACCTTTTCTGCAGCTCTGAAAGTTGTGCAGAACCTCTAACTGGCTCCAGTTTTGCTGAAAGCTAGCACCACAGCAGATAATTTGCATTGATAATGGATCTATCTATCTATCAGGAAGTGAAAGCGATAGGTTAGTGGCAGATGAATTTAGTGGGTGGTATCCCCACTCCACCAGGAACCTACTCAGGAGGAGAATTCAATATCCTACGTCTGATCTAGCTACACAAGGGCTACACAATGATAATGAAAGTTATGACAAATTCAAAAATCAATTTCTGGACACATGGGGCAAGAAGGGACAAAAAAAAAACATAAGCTGGTTCCAATACTGTTTAAAATACCACTAAATTTTTAAATTAATGTAGATTTTCACTTCCTTCATAGAACAAAAGATAATGTTGACTGGTTTTGAAAGATGCAAAATATTAGTAAAAGTAATCAGGATGTTTGCAGGCTATAAACAACATTTTATTCCGACAGATACAGGAAATTGACTGCTTTTTAAGAAGGTACATTTTCTATTCCTCCATGACAATACTGCATCTCACTTATGTTATATTTACCAGATCATAAGCTTTCATTAAGTTTACTTGGCTGAACAGAATTGAAATGAAATGTACAGCACAGCATGTACCCTTTCACAACACTGAACCTCTTTTGGTTTTTAAATTGAAGGATTCCTTTTAAAACCAGTGTTGCCAGAGTGATAAAATGCAGTTCACTTGCAACTTGATTACTTCTCAAATGGATTTCATGAAGCACAATAAAAGATAAATAAATTGCCCGTCACCAGAGATGTGAGAAAAAAAAGTATTAATATTTCAATGACAATATTTAATCTGCCACAATTATTTGGTATAATGCAACCGTACTATGAAGACACTTGCATTAGGCTTTTTGCAGTATTCAATAATGCAAACAGTACTTTTTCAGTACTGTCGCTTATTTCTTTTTCCGATTCTCTGTTATTAAAAATAATTGAGAGATTTTAAAATCCACAAAGAATCCTAACTCTCTATCTTTTCACTTATATTAAACAGTCCCTCAATGCTTACCGGCTCAGTCACATTTCACTTTGCTGCTCCATGAATCAAGCTGTTGCAGCTACTCCCCACGCCTGCGGGGGCCAGTTAGCTCAGTTGGCTGGATGGCTGGTTTATGATGCAGAGTGATGCCAACAGCATGGGTTTTATTCCCACAATAGCAGAGGCCACCATGAATGACCCTTCACCTGTTAGATCACCAGCAGTTCTCTCTCTAATGAGGGAGCAGCCCTATGGTCTGGGTAGACTAGGGTGAATTTACCTTACACCAGCAAGGTGATTCTTTTTCTTATGAAGCTACTTGACTGCAGGGGAATCATAACAAAGCCTAATACTGTCCTCAGCCAATATCCATAACAGAGTTTGTTAATGAAATTAATAAAGAGCACCAAGGGATGTTGCAGAGCACAGAAATTTTGACAGGTTAGTTGTAGGGTCTAGCACCATTTAATCTGAACAGGATAGTTCACTTATCAACGTGGTGTCCTGGGAAAGGATATTACCATACAGCC